CACCCACTGGCAGGAGGTCGCCGCCGCCGTCGCCTCCCGCTGCCCCTCCGCCTCCCCTCCCAAAACCCCCGTCCAGTGCCGCCACAAGATGGAGAAGCTCCGCAAGCGCTACCGCACCGAGATCCAACGCGCCCGCTCCCTCCCCGTCTCCCGCTTCAACTCCTCCTGGGTCCACTTCAAGCTCATGGACTCCATGGAGAAAGGCCCTTCCCCTGTCAAACCTGATAACAACGATTCCGATAGCGACAACGACATCGACGACGATGACAACGACAACGATCCAGATCTCTATCCCAACTCTGCCCACACCCGAAGCCTCAACAAGTTGTATCGCAACGGCTTTTCCGCTCCTCCCGCTTCTGCTGGCTTTAGAATTCGGATTCCCACTGGCTTCGCCGGATCTGCCTCCAAGGTCTTTGGGAAACCTGCGACTAATCACAAATTCAACCCCAATTTGAATCAGAACCCTAGCCCTAATTTTGGGAAGAAGCGGGAGAGAGATCCCATCGCTGAAGTGGTCTCTGCGATTAAGGTTCTGGGAGATGGGTTTGTGAGGATGGAACAGATGAAGATGGAGATGGCCAGGGAGATTGAAACCATGCGGATGGAAATGGAAATGAAGCGCACTGAGATGATTCTGGAGTCGCAACAGCGGATTGTTGAGGCCTTTGCCAAGGCCGTTGCGGAGAAGAAGAAGAAGAAGCCCAAGACTGGGTCGTCGCCTCAACAGCCTTAATGGGTGAATTTCTGCCTTTGTTGTTTGTTTAGATTTTGCTTTGCTGCTGTCACTTTTTTGTAATTTTAAGATAACATATGTGGAGCTTATGGCTTTAGGTTGATGCTATTGTTGCCTGAATCGTGAATGTAGCTTTAGATATTCCTTTTGTACTCTGATTTTCTTGCTGTCTTTTTTATGTTTAAATAAAACCCGAGGACAGGATCGATTGCCAGAATGGTTTGTGTACTTTGGATTTATCAACAAGCGTAACAACAAAGAGAGTTATTGGGCATGCCTTTCCCTTGTTTGAGTGTTTCTGCTTGGAATGACATTTTGTATGAAATACACGAACAGATCTCCTGGTTAAATGGTGGTATTGATGTTAAAAAACAATAGTACATAAACAATATCATTAATTGTGAGTCTTTAAACGTAGTAAGTGTTGACTCTTACCAGATGAAGTTTTCTGGGTTTCCCGTGTGAATGTTCCAGTCTTTTTCTTCCGTCTGCTGGGTACCTGCGTGTTCTTTAGTGAATTTTGGGGATTCTGATTTAGATTTCACACATTGGCTGCTGGACTTTGGAGAACCTATCGACGCTTTTGTAATGGCATTCAATCAAATGTTCTAATGTTATGGTATGGGGAAGAATAAATGCTCTAGTGCTTCGAAGTTCGAAGCAAAAAATAAATATATGCAATTGGGTATGCTCCATAATAACTACACGAGTCTATCTAACAGCAGAATTAAGACCATTGTATCCTGTAAACTCATTTAGCTGATCACGTTTTGCAAATATTTGAGGAAGAACAACTCTGTCAGAAGAGGAAGGGCTGTGCGAAACTAAACTCCAATCCATGAGTATACTTTGCTAGATAATCAGAAAAGCCTTTCCCTTCCCTGTAAGCGTGTCATCATTGAACCTACTACTATCAAAGATCAGGTGCGTGTTTGGAAACTTAACCGGAAACAAAGTATCACGTCAATTTAATCCAAAATTTCGGAGGCTTGACACTATTGGTAGTGTGTTTTGATACCTTTTAGAATCAATTTTGATCTTCAAAATCATGGAATTTAAAAAAAAAAATTAAAATAACTGTGTTGCGTTACACATCAACGTGATTTTGGTAGAAGTAAAAGCTAATCAGTTTTATTTAAACGTGGAAAACTAAATGAGCAAACTAAGGGGGTGTATTGGATTAGGATTTTAAAAGAATTTTTTAGTTAAAAAAAATCCTGCGGATTTTAAAAGACTTTGCAGGATTTTCATGACTTTTAAGATTTTGCAGGATTCTACAAGACTTAAAATTAGGATTTTAATAGATTCTGCAAGACTTTTAAATCAGGATTTTAATGGATTCTGTGGGATTTTGTAAAATTTTCGTGGATTTTTTACATTTGATAAGATTTCAAAAAAAATTTCATACATTCAAATTTAAAAAGAGTCAAAGACAAAAATAATAAAAAATAATAATGTCTAGATAAATAATAATAATAATAATTCTCCCTAATATCTTATCCTCTTAAATAGCATTCATCCACATATCTATAGTTATACTAGTCCTCCAAGCATTAGCGTCTTTTCGCTCTTGCTCCTGGGTTTGAATAATAGGTTCAAAAGTATGATCTTCATTAACTGGTAACGTTGAAGATGAAGGGTCATCCACTGCTTCAATTGAAAATTCGTCAGAACGACATTCTTTACGTAAAAAGTAGAAAGTTATGTAGTGTTGCACATACTAACACAAGTTTTACTTGTGTTTTAAATAAAAATGGAGGTGCTGACTTAAAAATTGTGAACCTTGATTTAAAAATACCAAATATTTTCTCGATCACATTCCTTAAAGACGCATGACGAAGATTGAACAATTCTTTCTCATTTTCAAGGTCATTACCCTGACCTGCAAAATCTTGTAGATGATATCTTACACCTAGAAATAGAGCTAAAAATTGGCGTCGATTAGGAAATTCACAATCCACCAAAAAAAAATATTTACCTAATTACATATGCAATATATATAATATTAGTATAATAATTATTATTATTATAATTATTATTATTATTTAAAGAATAAGCATTTAGATATAGAGAATATATATATATATATATATATATATATATATTATTTTAGTTATATATTATATGATAATTTTTAACGATATTTATAAATGTAAATTATTCTAACAAATATTTTAACAATATTTCATTTTTTAAAAATAAGCTAATGAAGGCATAAATCTTAAACCCTAAAAAATTAGATACTGCAATGCCTTATGTTAATTTTCTTTTTTAAAAAAATATAAAAAAAATCTTAATTTCACAATATAAAAATAAAAAGAAAAATTCATAGTAAAAAAAATAAAATAATTGTTGAGTCATAAAAGGAGGAGGGATAAGAGTAACAAATTCAAGGGAAGGAGAGAGTTCGCAGTTTTTATGCTGAGAGGGTTCTTCCCCCAACTAATATCCATTTTCATCTCATTCTACTCACAGAAACCCTAACAAATTCATCTTATATATATATATATATTGTAGAGATTATGATATCAATTTCATCTTTCACTTTTTCTTTTCTTGACTTGTGTTATAAAAAAAATTACCACTTAAAATTTGAATTTTCAAGCATTTTTTTGTGTTATATAAAGGAACAAATTCAACTACATAAAATAAAATAAAGCAAGTCAATTAAAGAGAACGAACAGAAAAATAGAGAAAATTAATGACACTATCATTTATATATCGGAGTTTCACAAAATAGGGGAATGGGATGATAACAGTACTACAATATTATATATGAGCAATGAACAATAGTGCAATACTATTAGCAAAGAAAAAAATGGAGAAGACAGAAACATAGGAAAAAAAAGATGAAAAACTCACTTGAAAATTCTTGAAAAGTCACTTCAAACAATCCTTCAAAATCCGATGGGTTTGGATGTGATTGTTTTATAAATTTGGTATTTATAAATAACACTAGAAAGTCCTTCAAAATCCCTCTCACACAACAATCCTTTAAAATCCTTATATTTTTGAATACCAATGGATTATTTTTAAGTTGTAAAAAATCTCAAATGAATACCAATAGATTTTAATGAACTCTTTAAAAAATCTTGAAAATCCAGATTGAATATCACTGAATTGTTTTTAAGTGACATAAAATTCTGATTGAATACCAATGAATTTTTTTACTCAAAAAAAGTCTTTTAAAATCCTACGAAATCCTAAACCAATACACCCCTAAATATGTTATTGATAATCAGTTTAAAAGTACGTGATGTTATATAAATGAGTTGAAGATGAATTATGGGTCTTATTCATTTGAGATCTTCATCTCCCAGTTGTTTCAATGATACCATGAAGGGGTGTGTATGTAGGTGAGATTATATGTTCCGAACAACCAACTCAACTCAATTACATTTTAACGAGTTATATTAAATTTGATCATTGAATTGAATTAAACATATTTTAATTGACTCAATTATAATTGAATTGAATATTGAGTCAATAAATTTTTAACTAGATTAACTAAGCTTAATTCAATTCAACTTAAAATTAATATTAATATTAATAATATACTAACTTTGTATTTAGTTTAAATATATATTAGTCTTATACTTTATATTAATATAATTTAGGACATGTATTATGACTATGATTTTAACAAATTATGAAATTTTTTTTCAAAAAATTTAGAATATATTTATATTTTAATAAAATGGCTTGATTACTCAACTCGATTGAAGTTGGGTTGATTTATTTTAAAAAAATATAAATCTAATTCGATTATGTTTTCATTAAATTCGTTCTTACATTAATATATATATATATATATATGTGTGTTTAATCTTATATTAGATAAAATTTGACTTACCTTAAATCATTTACACTTCAACATGCTAGTAAGATAAATGAAGAAGAGATCGATGCAGATTTAAAATAGAAATAAAAATAGACAATCAAAGTTTGATTTTTCTATGAGTAAATTTGAAGGTTTGGAATTTTATAAGTGCCTAAAAATATCTTTAAAATGACACGGACACAGTTAACACACAGTCAAAATGGTTGAAAATGTGCTTATGTATTGTTATTTAACAAAGTCACTTGATAATACGAACTAAAAATGTGAACATAAAATTTTATAATAATTATGATTAATTAGTCTTTATTTTTATTTTAATGATTAAGAAGAAAATTCGTGGAAAAAATAAGAGACAAAATTCATATTTAATATTATATAAATATCTTTTTTTTTTTTTTTTACTTTACAGTGTATTAAAATTTTTAAAAAATAAGTTTTCTCATTCAATAACATTACTCTTATCGAATTATGAGGGGAGTAGAGTAAAAAAGTAACTACAAGCACACTACTTTTAAAATATCTTCGATGCTTTTCAAATAAGTAATTCATTTTATCTCTTTAAGTAATTTCATGTATGTCACCTTAATTTTAAGCAACTTACACAATTTTCATTATGATTACAGTTCTTATCAACAAATTGCTTAACTTTCAAATGTCTTTTTTCTCTTCATTATTTCATAGTCTTTCTCTTGTATATACACATATAAATGTTAAGCAACTTGTAAGGAATGTTGTTAATTCAAACAACTTTCTAATTATAAGCAACTAAAAATCACAAGTGACTTATCAATATTTTATTTTTATCGTTAAACAAGCCATACAATGTAGATAAGCATCTCTCATAAGAGATGTTCTTGATTTAGTAACTATTGAAGTGAAGCATTGTATCGTCTACCCATATAATATTTGTTTTGCTACGAGTCCTATTAAGTTCAACATAGTTAAAGATGTTAAACTCTTATTCAAGTGATTAATTTGTATATGAATAGGTCATCCAAAAGCCTATATGATTATTGAGATTGATGCTTTAGAATTAGGTTTTGGAGACATCTTAAAATAGAAATTAGGACATAATATTGACCACATAGTAAAATTTTATTTTGGAACATGTAATGAGAACCACCTCAAGTATAGTACTATTAAAAAAGAATTTTTATCTATTATTCTATGCATTACCAAATTTCAAAATGATTTGATAAATAAAAGGCAATGAAAATGAGACTAGATTTTTCATACCCACACTAAGCACAAAAGTTAGATCACAAAGATACTATATTTATCTCATGTAAGCTAGTACATTAAATTTAAAATATAAAACATATTAAATTATACTTTTTTAAAAATTAATGGAGAATATATTTTATATAAAAGAATAATGAAACATAACATAAAAATATATTTGTGATGAGCAAATAATTTATCTATAATTAG